TGTTACAGATGAGACGGTGAGTCGACTAATTAAATCGCTCTTTCCATTGAAGCTTTATATTATGGAGAAAATGAACAGACACCATATAATGTATACTCGAGATAAACACATATACAAGTGGAATCAGCAACAACAGCAGCAGCAGCAGCAGCAGCTGCTGCTACTGGCTTCTGACCCCCTCTCCCTGTATCACATGATGCTGCATGTTGTATGCAGATCAATTAAATGAAGGAGTGGCTCTTGGGAGAAGAGAGATGCTTCATCGCCTGAGGTGTGGAGTAACTAATGGTTGTAGATTTCAAGAGGGAGAAGGAAGGAAAGGCGAAGGTGTGGGGTGGCGATGGGAGGAGTAAATGCGAGAGGGGGAATGGGGGGGTTCGGAAGAGGAGTGAATGAGGGGGAATCTTTGTCTGACGCACCAGCATCGATGTGTATAAATGCCTCCCCTCTCTTGTCAAACCTGTTTTAGCACGCTGCAGCGACCTCCACCTTCTCTCTCTCTCTCTCTCTCTCTCTCTCTCTCTCTCTCTCTCTCGCGGGATCATTTAATCCTTGCCAACAACCTCTCTACAGGCCAGGAAGAGCACTGCTGCATGTCTCGGCTTCAGCCACGGCTTAAGAACTGGAGTGGTGACATGCATGCAACGCACATTTCCTCATGTCTCGACTTGAGGCACCACAGGCTGATATAACATGTCTGTGTGAGAGATCTCAAGTATGAGATACGTATGCCAAGCAAGATACAGGGATCCAACACATATATGGATATGAATGTATAGAAATATATACCTAAAACATTAATTTATACTTAAAGCTTATTTAAATTAAGAGTTCAAAATTTAATCGTGTAAATAAATATTTATATATAAAACATCTTAAAATTTGATTTGATGATGATATACTAGACTTACATACCGAAGATTGTGATATTAGCTAGTATACATGGTAAAAATTAGTTTGATGGTAATATATCGAATCTCACCTTCGTCATATACAAATATTTATATACTAACTCATCTTAGATTATGAGTGTAAGATCTTATTTTATAAATTTTATATACCTAAAATTTTAGTATGATGAATAAAGTTTAAGATCTCATCATAAAATTTATCACTTATGTTGGTTTTGAATAATGTATATATAATTTTTTATATAAAAATATTAGAGTTGATAATGCACTTGATTCACTTTCCTAATATCATATATGATATACTCTCTTAGCTTTTAGGTCTAAAATCTCTTTCTCATAATTTTTTTTATAGGTGCTATCTGTAAGAGCTAGCCCCAAGAAATTTACCAAAGGGTAATTTTAGCAACTCAACAAAGACAATAAAGCGACAAGAACACTAGATAAAACGAAAATCACAGTAATCAGCAGGAGTACTTGACCAAACTTCCTCCAGAGTTTTAAAGTTAAGTGCTGCAGAAGGAGCGCGGTTGACAACGTAACATGCCATATTAATTGCCTCTGCCCAAAAGTCCTTTGTCAACCCTGCATTTGAGATCATACACCTTGCTCTCGCCAAGAGTGTTATGTTCATACGTTCGGCCACACCATTTTGCTGAGGCGTCATCCTAACAGTGCGATGCCGAACGATTCCTTCATTTTGTAAAATTCATTAAAGTCATCTTCACAAAATTCCATGCCATTATCTGTTCGAAGCCACTTAATCTGTTTACCTGTTTGCTTCTCAATTAAAGCCTTCCATTGTTTAAAGGTTAGAAAAATATCATTTTTATGCTTCAGAAAATAAATCCAAACTTTCTTAGAATAATCGTCAATGAAAGTCAACATATACCTGGCACCACCCTTAGACTGAACATGAGCTAGACCCCAAAGGTCTGAATGAATATAGTCGAGAGTACCTTTCGTTTTATGAACTACCAGAGAATTGAAGTTGACTCTTTTCTGCTTTCCAAAAATGCAGTGTTCACAAAAATCCAGTGGCCCAGTACTCTGTCCACAAAATAAACCCCTTTTGCTCAATATACTCAAACCTTTTTCGCTCATATAACCCAAACGCATATGTCATAATTTGGTGATGTCAGAATCAGACAATGATGATGACAAAACTGCAACCGAACCTATGACAGTAGTTCCCTACAGAATATATAAGCTACCAGACCTACAAGCTTTCATAACAACAAGAGCACTTCTAGAAACTTTCATAACTCCACCTTCAGTTGTGTATTTACACCCAAGGGCCTCTAGGATGCCTAAAGAGATGAGATTCTTTTTTAAATCAGGAACATGTCTAACATTAGTGAGCATCCTCACAATACCATCATGCATTTTAATTCGGATTGTTCCTCTACCAACAACATCATATGTTGCATTATTGCCCATCAAAACAATTCCACCATTACAAGATTCATATGTGGAAAACAAATCTCTATTATGACACATGTGATAAGAAAAATCTGAATCTAAAATCCATTCAGTTTTAGACCTCATCCTGTCATCAATAGCAGAGAAAATATTTCCAACATTCTCATTAGTTGCTACACTAGCTTCAGCAGACTCAGTAGTTTTCTCAATAATTTTTTCCTTTTACTTTAATTTATTTTTCAATTTAAAGCAATCAGCCTTAATGTGCCCCATCTTATGACAATATATGCACTCTAAATTTCTATGTCTGGATTTAGATCTACTACTGTCGAATTCCCTTTTATCTGTTCTCCCCCTAACAATCATGATTCTCTCTACTTTCCCCAGTAATATCCCTGTTTATCTACTCTTTAGATTTTAGTGCAGATTTAATTTCCTGATATGAAATTGTTTCTTTTCCATAAATCATAGTATCACGGAAATGCTTAAAAGATTGGGGAAGAGAACACAAAAGTAATAAGGTTTTATCCTCATCATCAATTTTTGCATCTATATTCTCCAAATCCATAACCAAGGAATCAAATTTATCAAGATGTGAGAGTATAGATGTACCTTCAGTCATCCGAAGCATATACAAACTCTGCTTTAAGTAAAGACGATTCTCTACTGTCCTCTTCATATACAAGGCTTTAAGCTTGTCTCACATGCTCTTAGCCGTAGTCTCCGTAGCTACCTCCCGTAAAACCTCGTCAAAGAGATTTAGAATAATGCTGGATCGGGTCTTCTTATCCATACCCGTAAAATCTTCCTTTGACGTACTATCTGGAATATTCTCAGCCCCCTATAGTACCAAATCAACTCCTTCTTGAACCAGAATGACCTTCATCTTGTTGAATCTCGTATTTTGATGATGAAACCACTTGATATATGTTTATGATTTAATCTGCGTTTTGAGTGACGCATGATGCTTCGATCAGGATAAGACAATTAAAGCAGGAAAATCATGTTGTGCCAAAGGAACATGTCAGAAAATTGGACGTCGGGCCGGTGGATCGGTCGACGTATCGACAGAAGGCTTCGGGCCGTGGACTCGGGCATCAGGCCAAAAAGAGCGGGTATTATGCCAAGGATATCGGAGTTGCGGAGTCAACTGGCCGATTGGGCAATAGGCTGCAGGAGAGGACGATGCGCCGAAGAATCGGACGAAGCGTCGAGGGACCAATGACATGCCGGACAACTTGGTTAATTGCTTAGGATTAATTGTCTCGATCGAAGTTTTGTTTTAAGTGTGCAAGATTAACTACGATGGAAGAAAGACATGCAGCAGGAGTTACGCCAGAGTCAAGACGATGATCACGTTGGGAGTTCGAGAGTTCGACGGAAGTTCGGACAGTCATCGGAGGTTCTGCGGGAACAAATCCGAGAAGTCCATGAGCTTGCCAAAGAAGCTCGTCGGAACTCGCCAAGTGGATCGTCGCAAGTCCAGGAGTTTGTCGGAAGTCCGCAAGAGCATCACCGAGGGTTCATCGGATGATTGACGGAAGCTCGCTGGAAGAAGCGATTGACGCACCGGAGCAAGTTGCAGTAAATGTCTTAGGAAATATCGTAGTTAGCACAATGATTAAGTTGGAAATGGGAGGTGATCCCATTAACTTAATCTTGGGGCAATTGGGCCCCTGAAAAACCCAAATTGGGCCGAATGGATCAACCCATTCGGACCCCGATTTCTGGCAGGAGGTGCAACCGCCCAAGCCAGGAGGTGGCACCGCCTGGGCTA